ACTGTATGCGAGTGGTTACATGTGTGGAAACACTTGGAACATGAGAAATAGTCTGCTGATGATGTGTAAGGGAAGAGTAAAATTTAGCTCACTTCTAGTCATCTTGCTTTCACAGGGCTTCTGTGAAATAAAGCAGTATGAACACACGCACACACTCTTCAGATCTGTCAAGTGAGAAGGCACTGTTTTAACTTTTTGGAGCATGATCATAATTCACCAAAACAGTGATTATTTAACAACCTGGTCTAAAATAAATAGGAACAAAAACTTCTCCTTTAAATTATTTTCTAAACAAAGGCTTCCTTTTGTGTATGTTGTTGAGATTGTAAAGGCACCCTCTGTCCCCACAATTTTAATTCATTCACCTTTTTCCAGTGAGAATAACATAAGTAAAATATTCAGCAACTTTTTTCTGAAGAAAAATATTTTCACTTTTAAAGAAGTAGACAAAAATGATTAATTAACTTTCTTGTCACCACTCCTTAGGGACTGAAGCAGACAATGTGAATATTATAGCATAAAGTGTTACATTCTGTTTTAGTAATATTGCTAATTAAGCCAGATAGCTTTTAAAACATTATTGTTCAATTATTATTATAGATGCATTACTAGCTAATTTCCATGTGAGACTCCCAAGATAGGCTCATGTCATATCAACTTGAAAATTGTATACAATAGTATTCTTGCTCAGATGTGACTTATTTTTCTCCCTCAAGAAAATGAGTTTCAATGTATATTAAAACTTTTTTTTTGCATGGTTTGCATATGTTTTCATCAGTGTTTCTTCCAATCCCACAGTAGAGTAATTTAAAAATCTGTGTGGGTGAATGGTTTGGGAACAAATTAAGATGTAGTAAACAAAGCTGCCAACAATATAATGCAAACATTAATGAGAGTCCAACTTGGTCAGTCTTGCTTAGTCATGGATAATGTGATCATATCATAATCTTTTCTGTAAAAGACTTTCCTTTTTATTCAATGCATTAACTGACCAATACAAGTGGAATTTTTTTGCTGACAGTTTTCAGGTTTCCGTGACTTAGCACAGTTAATTTAATACAGCAGTAAGAACGTTTGGTTTCGGGTTTAACATAGTGTGTACTTGTAATAATACACATTTAGCACTTAAATAGGGCTTTATATTTTCAAAGAGAGCTAATTTAAGTTTTATTGTTATTCTATCCTGCAACAACCATTAATAAGCAGTATTATCATTTTATATAGGAATTCAAATTGAGGTTCTGACATACCCAATGCTAAGGGGGTTAATTCTAATCCTAATGCTGACACAAGATTTCCTAGCTCCCAGAATTAAACCAGATGTCTCTTATATGCTACATTGAGATGTCCCTTTTGAGAGAACAGTCTTGGAAATAGAAGTTAATACAAGCAGGAGTTAGATAAGATGGAAGATACATTGACATAAAACAAAAATGAAAAACAAATCTGGAAGAAATTTTATTTAGGATTTTTGGTGATCTTGAAAGAGTGACCGCAACCATACTTTTTTAGAATAATGAATAAAAAAATCCTCCTTGTTCCTCCCCAACCTGCTCTTTCCAGAGATATCTCAGCCACTGTTTCACGTGTGTATCTGACATGAGCTGCACTAATCTTAAATCCAGTTAACTTTTCTGACTAGATTTAAGAGTGTTTTTGTAGCAGTAAGCATTTCTGGAAATTTTAGCGTCATTTGGCCATATTTGAAAATTATTCACAAGGATTCAATAGCACTGTGTATGAGCACGCCTTAGAAGATTTATGTTTCTGTTCACATGCTCTATGAAGAGCTAGGCCTCTTAGTACAGAAGAGTGTCCTGTTGTTCAGCCACCTTGAAGGATTTGAAATTGGGAAGCATATTATAAGTCCCAGACCTTGGCTTGTGATGTCTGCCTTTGGAAAGCAAGAACAGAAAATCATGCCTTCTGCTGGGAAACACTTGGAAAGGTTTATCTCCTTTATCTGACATGTCATAATGTTCCAGTGATCAGTAAACTTATTGAGAAGCAGATGAGATAAAAGTACTGTAAATGGCAGAAATGATGGGGAATAACTGCACCAGACTTCTTCAAAAATATATGTAGCTATTCTCTTGTTGTACTTACTAGTGTCTGCTACTGCCATGTGTCTTTCTAAGTGTTCTTTTTCTTCTCAAATCTTCTGCATCTTTCAGATATCTGTTCCGTAATAGGTCTTTTCTGAGAATCCCTGTGGCTCCTAGGCCTAGGTTCTCATCCCTAAGGAGTTTGAGGTTGGCCTGATATAAGGTTGTCCTTCTCAAGCAGTATTGCGCACCTTGTGCTATTTTACATGTTTGGATAATTTCCCTGAAGGAGAATTTGCATGGTAATTGTAATGCTACCATGCAAACTGCTGTCTTAATGGCTTGAGTTTGCAACTGCTTAATTTTCATTACTAATTTACGTTTTCTTGCATACAAATTTAAAATTTGATATTTTGCATTGTCCTTTCTTGGTTCACCTCTTATTGTTTACAATGTTTGTTTTCACAAGAGACAGACTCCCAGCATTTATAAACTGTAAGGCACCTTTCAGGAGTATGGTTTGTAAATTGCATATTATATACAGTAGTTTATTTACTTCTATATAATATGGATGCGGAGGTTTCTTTCTTACTTACATCACCACATTAGTATTTATAATTCATGTTTACCATAACATTTTTTTCAGTGGTCATGTATGTGATATACATATAGTTACACCACTGTACATTGCATGTTTTTTAAGGAATGCATATGCAGCAGTTTTTTACAGTATTTTCAGTAGCTGTTCATATCTGCCTTAATGTTCCACTTCAGCTAGATATAAAGGAGGTGCATGTAACTTAAATGTTATGGTTCAAATTCTATTTTTCTCAAATCAGTTTTTAATCATTTCCTTTTATAGGCCATTCATGGAAGAACCACGCCATGTTAAAGTGCAGAAAGGTTCTGAGCCATTAGGGATTTCCATTGTGAGTGGAGAAAATGGTGGGATATTTGTCTCTAAAGTAACTGGAGGGAGCATTGCCCATCAAGCTGGCCTCGAGTATGGTGATCAGTTACTGGAGGTAATTGTTTACTTTCTATGTCCATGATTTATTAAATGAATACAGTTGTCCCCAAGTTCATATATTCATGTGTGCTCACGCACATGCTCACTCTCAGGTTCTCTCTTCCCCTCTCCCTTTCCCCTCCCCTCCACTCTCTCCCTCTCCAATACTAGAATACTGATTCTGAACCATTTATGAAATAATTTTGTCAAGTTTTTTAACAATAATTGCTTTACCAGTCATTACCCTCCTAAGGATGTGACTGCAGCTCACTCTGAGATACCCTAGCTAGCTTTATACTAGCTTGCTCAGTTGCAACAGCAGTATTGAGAAAAGTGAGAACCTGTATATTCAGGTGTTTAACCTGCACAGGCTCTATGGTGCCATACTTACATTGTTATACATATGTGAGTGAACTAGTTTAAAGCTAGCTTGGGTACCCCTATGTGAGCCTGCAGTCACACCTTGGACTGCAGTGTTCCCCTATCCTATGTTTGCGCTGTAGGAAAGTGCATTATTCTTTTTAATATGGGGATGGCACAAGTCTACTGTTGCAATATTTATTAAAGATCTAGATGTATTTAAGGCAAGCCATAGATCCAAACAACTATATAAGCCTTACTTCTTAGAAATTCAGAGTTGGATCCAAGGTTTATGTTCTTAACCCATCTGTACTTAATCACTGGTGTCAAGCTGCACTAAGCCCTAACAAAGATATATAAAAATAAATAAACCAGATGTAGAAGCTGTTTAGAAAACTTTCCAGAGGAGAAGAATACTGTTTCATCCAACCAGAATAAGTATTTTGTTTTGTGGTCAAATGTCACATTTCAAAATTGTATCGATTCCTTCAAAGGAGTAATTAAATAATAACAAAAGCAAAATCAATCCATTCCATAGCAGCACTTTCTCCCTCCCCATCTCCAGCAAACATCTTATAGTCCTTCTACAGCTCAGGAGAATTTAAAAACACAGTGAACAAACTGAGATTCTGAAAGTTTTATAATGAATTTGCCAGTTTTCATTTGAACATTTGACATCTAATGTTTTATATTTTGGGTTTTTTATTAGTTTAATGGAATAAATCTGAGAAATGCTACAGAGCAGCAGGCTCGACTGATCATTGGACAGCAATGCGACACCATTACTATTCTGGCTCAGTACAACCCACATATGTATCAGCTTGGCAATCACTCACGATCTAGGTAAGATTAGCTAGACCTTGAAAAAACTATTATCTGGTTGATGTCATATATCAAGGTGTTAGATATGTTCTATGTTGTGACTGTGCTAATGAAAGATGTGTTTATAAGCAATATGATTACCAAAAAATGCAACATAGATATCATTCATTTTACAAGCAAAGAATTTGGGCATATGTCAGTTTTTTTTCTTTGTTTAGATGTAACATTTCAGAAATATGAAACCAACATCAAATGGTTTTTTTCCCTACTGTTATTATCATACATCAATTTGCTGTTGGGAGCTCACAAAGAGAGCTAGTATTGTTGATAATTTATTTGTCAAAAGTACAATGAAATACTTGTTTCCAAAGCCTATCACCTTTTTATCCAGATATTCAGGAATCTTCTGATACCTACGACCTTGCAACGTCTTGAACTGAAATAAACAGGGCATGTGAAATATGAAAAGACGTTCAAAATAAAGGGCTGTACAAAGTTGTCCTTTGTAAAAATCCACTCATCTTTAAAAACAGGCTGTTAATTCATTCACAAAAGGAGGGAAATTAAAGCCTATCTTCTGTAGGTGTCATTTTCAAAGGTGATCTGTCATGTTCTTGAGAGAGAAAGGAAGTTACTGATATCACTAATATTCAAGCAGCCATAGGCTTTGCTGACCTTTCATTGCCATTGTTGTTTTCTGCTTATAAAAGGGACCAGCATAAGCTGTGAGCATGTGTGTAGTGAGCCCTGATTTTCTGGTTTTCTAAAGGAAAGCAGGAACTGATTTGTAACTATATTAGTTTAAAACATTTCTAGTTTTTTTAAATGCATTTTTCAGGTAATTTTTAATGGACTTCCATAGTTGTTCCCATACATATTGAAATGTTCACATGCCAATGTTTACATTCAGCTCTGTTTGCATTTTCATTTATGAAAACTGCATGTGCAAATGTTGGGTTTACCACGTATAGATAGTGCTTTCCAAGAGACTGCAGCTGAATTTTAAGGAGGCTAAATGAAAATATCATCTGACATGGTTCAGGTTCTTAGGCAGCTCGTGGACTTATTTTAGGACTTAAATTCACTTTTAAATATTGGATGTCATAAGATTCCAAAAAAGTATTTGAAAAATGATCCCACTTCACTTAAACTATGGTTCTATTTTGAGATATGTGATCATATGTAAAACTAAGCTGTGTCTTCCATTCAGAATTTTATAAGGCTCATACTTCTGTTCTGTTTTAAGATTTTCTGTTTGTTATTAACTTGACTTCAGCCTAGATTGTTTTTCCCAAAAATTTAATATTTCTTCATATCTGAAGTGAAAGGTTTGGTACTGGTTGGATTGTTCAACATTTTTACCAGCACTTTTTGATTCTTTCTTTCATTATAGTTCTCGACTGGAACCAGCGAGCAATCATTCCACACCGCAAGGCAGTGGAGCTGCAACCCCTGACAATCATTCCATAATTGATACTGTGAGTGAACAGGATGAAGGAACAATGACGCCTCCATCCAAGCAAACCACACCAACTACTAGTCCCCGGAATTCCATGAGGTAAAGGCTGAACATTTCTCTCTGACATGTGAGGGAAGGAAGAAAGGTACAAAAGAAAAAAAGACACTTGAGAGGGGACATATGATGGAAGTTTATAAAATAGTAAATGGTACAAAGAAAGTAAACAGGGATTGATTATTTAGTGTCTCAGTGCTAGAACTAGGGGGCATAAAATGACACTTAGGTGATAGCTTTAAAACTAACACAGCAAAGTTCTTTCTCACAAAATAGGCAACTAACTTGAGGAACCCATTGCCACAAGCTATTGTAGAGGCCGGTAGCTTAAGCCAGATCAGGAGGGCATTAGATGTATTCTGGGAGGCAAGCTCCATCATAGATAATGAGCATGGTAGATAAATCGAGTGCAGTCCTTGACTCAGGAATTTCTAAACCTCTGAATGCTGGAAACCGCAATAGGAAAGGAGCATGTGTGGAAAATTCTGAACATGCCCTGTTCCTCCCCTTCCTCTGCCAATATGCAAGACAAGAAACCAAGCTAGACCCAGTATCTGACCCAGTGAATGCAATTTCTTATGTTGTTAACTAGATTTCAGAAATCAACTGGCCTTTTTAAAGTAACAGTTGAGGGATCCCATGATCAAACTACTTCCTCATTTCTTACAAGCACATTTCAAAATACATTTAAATAAAAATATAAAACAAAATGACCTGTGTTAGAAATAATATAGGATGCTTGAAGGTAAACTTTAACAATGGTTTTACCTATACAGTATAATAAATGAATATACTTCTTTTTGTTTAGGTGACTAGTTACACCTGCATGTTAACCAAGAACAGTGAATAAACTTTTATTTTAAAAAGAACTTGTCTTGTTTCTTGGTATCAAAAGGGTCCCTATGGATGCAAACAAAAGGACCCCTGAACCTAGGATCGTAGTCATTAAAAAATCCCAAGTTGATCTTGGAATCCAAATATGTGGTGGAAACCTACATGGAATATTTGTGTCAGATGTAGATGATGACAGCCCAGCAAAAGGACCTGATGGACTAGTTCTGGGAGACATAATTCTTGAGGTATGTGATGCAGGTACAAAATATAGGAGATGTATGTTGCTTTCCATGTTTCAGCTTTTTTAGAACAGGACAGTGCAAGAGGGTAACTAAAGATACTTCTAGATTCCTCATAGCAGAAATATGTCCCTTTCTGGCAGTCTTGGCAAACCAGGAGCAGTTGCCCATAAACTTCATTTGTGTAAACTCCACCTTTTAGATCTCTGTCATGAAGCACTCCATTCTGAATGTCATGTTAGGGCTTGCTTACACATGGGAAACTTGTTACAAGTTGTTGCTGAGACCAGTTGATTGCCACCAGTGTCTATAATAGTAGAGACCCTAGGGTAGATGAAGTGTTGCTGGCACTGGATAAACTTTACATCATCTAATTCTGGTGTTGGGATAATAACATTGTGTTTTGTGAGCTGCTCAGATTTAGTAGTCTGTAATGGAGTCTATATGAGTACTTAGAGTTGCTTCTCCTTTACCCTCAGTATGCTAGCATGCGGGTGGAGGCATTGTCTTTGTTAAGTTGCTGCCAATTTCTCTGCATAAATAGCCTAAATCAGGGTTGTGGGGGTGGGGGGGAGGAGGGAGGGGGTACTTGGGAAGGCCTTAAGGGATATGCATGGGTGGGCAGGGATGGAGTGCTGCCACCCACCACCCTGCACTGTCGCCTCCCGGGGCGAGGGCAGTGGCACCCCTCTGTGGGCCGCATAGGTGCTGCCTGTCTGGTCAGATGTGGTGGGGAGGGAAGCTTGTACGCGGTGGCAGCTCCCGCTGCCATCCACCACCCCATGCTGCTGCCGCTCTGCATCTGGCCACGCATCAACCCCTCCTTCCCCCCCCAAATCCAGCTGCTGGGTGTACACTTATTAAAACAGGTTGAAAACCCATGACCTAAATTATAGATCATTATTATTTTCTCAAACTGCCGTGGAGATAGTGTTCTTTTTTTTTTCCTTTTCTCACATGTTCCTTGTATTTTCTTTAGGGATTTCAGTTTTAATCCTACCCCATCTCCACTGGCTATCTTAATCTGGTACCTACACTAATGTGTCTAATGTTATGGCAAGATTTCCTTTGACACAGATAACTAGCTCCAACCTCACATTTTTTAGGCTTTACTAATCCAAGAGCCTATTAAGATGTAACAGGTTTAAAGATTTTGTGGGGGTTATGTTTTACAGTATGGATCTGTTGATATGCGAAATAAAACAGCTGAGGAAGCCTACCTTGAAATGCTGAAGCCAGGAGAAAATATCAGAATAAAGACTCAGTTCAGAATAGAAGAATACAACAAGATAAAAGAGTTACCTGGAGATGGATTCTATATCAGGTATTCAGATGTCCTTTAAATAGCCCAATTCCTAACCCTTTTGTCAACAGCAATTGCATGTGGTGGCAAACCACTGAAAGGCAAGTGAGACCACAAAACTCACCATTAAAATACCTTGCACATATGGCAGAGAGAAGCAACTGGTTGGTCTCTCTTCTTTTTTGCTGACAAGTTAAAGAAAGAAGCCTTAACTTAGCTCATCTTTGGTCTTTTTCTGAATTGGACAAGTAGTATACAAGTATAACTGCAATGTATACCACACGTATAACCGCATACATCATTGTAAGCATGTGACCATTCAGGATATTTGTCAGTAACCCAAATATGTGTTAATTTCTTTTTCTAAATAAGTATATCACATTTCATCTCACATGGTGTAGTTTCAATTAAAGAGTCTGTATATATGTCTCTCTGCAGGGCACTTTATGATCGACTGGCAGAGGTAGAGCAGGATTTAAGCTTTAAGAAGGATGACATTTTGTATGTTGATGACACTCTGCCACAGGGCAACTTTGGCTGCTGGATGGCCTGGCAGCTAGATGAGAATGCTCAAAAGCTGGAAAGAGGACAGATCCCCAGCAAATACATGTAAGTGACCTCAGTGAATAACTGTTTATCACTGTTTAACATGTCTGACTGATGAGATTATAAAAAAAAGAACTGGGTTTGAATCTTCAAAGTTGTATCACTTTTGCAAGGTATTAGTTTCCTAGAAAGGTTATTTTAGGGGTGGCATGTTTTAATAAGACTTAAATAAACCACCCGGTCAAGTCGTTTTTAGTGCTGCCAGGAGTAACCTCCTAAAAATGTTAAGTATATATAGCACCAGGTTATGATCTGAGCAGTAATCAAAATAATTTTCCACAAAAAGACTCATTAATGAACAGGACTAATCCTTTTTTCTTAATCTTCTTTGACCAGGGTATATATTTAGGACTATGTACCCTCACAATCAATTGATGCCAGTAAAAGATTTGCACTGAGATCAGAGGCAGAGTACCATGTATGCAGTAACTACATTTTTAGTTGTTATTTAAAGTCATATTTAACATTACTTAGCAGACAAGTATTCTTTGCTCTCTCATTGTTGCTGCTATTTCTGCCCTTCCTTTTTTTCCCTCCGCATTTGCAGGCTTCCCATATTCCTCCTATGTTAAGTACAGACATTCAAAAAACATGAGCCTGAATTGATTCAGTCTTTGCAGGATAGTTTAACCTGCATAGATTGAACCAATTTGCAAGTGAATAGACATTCCTTTTTAATTCTGGAAATGCAGGCACAGATGTAGTGGCTCAGGCTAGAAGCCAGGGGCGCTAGAACAAGCCCTGGGCTGCAGGGAAGCTGTACTGAGGGAGGGGCATGGCCATGCCCTGGCAGGCCTGAGTATGATTGGGGAGGGATTTAAACCCCTACCCTGGTCTGCAGGGTCCCCAACCAGAGTGTGCCTGGAAGGGGAAGGGGGAAGCAACCCCTGCCAGACATTACCCACCCCCACCCTACCGCTTGAGCGGTGCAGTGCGGGGCGTGGCCAGCCCTGCCAGCAGCAAGAAGTGAACAGAGACAGAGCAGGGTTTAATTCCCCTCTCTGTCCCCTGTCCAAGTGCCAGGGATCCGAGCCAGGACCTGCCTGACCAGGGTGGAGCAGCCTGTGTCGGGGCACCCCCCCTCACTGCTGCAGAGGCAAGGGTGTGGTCAGGTGCTGGCCTGCCATGGCCTCCTGAAACAAAGGGAGCAGGGAGGGGGGCAGGGAGCTGTGCCCCAGGTGCAAACCACAACCACACCTGCATGAGGTGGCAAGACCTGACCTCTGTCCCCAGGCCACGCTGCTGCAATGGGAGGCAGCAGTGGGTCAGGCTCTGTGATTAACCCCAGCTCCCCTCCCCATCCCCTGCCATGGATGCAGCCGGACCCACGTCAGCATCAGGTGCTGCTCACCTCTCCTCCAAGGGACTCAGCCCAGGCACTGCGGCATGGGCCCTATCTGAGGAGATCTTCAGCATGGGACGGAGCCAGCACCATGTCAGTGCCTGTGCTGCTGCTGCCTGCAATAGGAGGATTAACCACCCCCGCCACACCACCACCACCTTCCCCTCAGGCTACTAGCATCTGGCCATGCCCCCCTCACTCCTGCTGCTGAAGCAGCAATGGGTGTGGGAGGCTGGGGACGCCTGGTAAGGGCTGCTGCCCTCCTGCCAGGTAGACCCAGCTGCACTCCAGAGCAGGGTTTTGCACCCTGCTCTGTCAGCTGGAGCAGTGATAGCACACCTGCTAGGGAGGAGAGGGATGGGGCCAACCCTGCTTGGCTGCAACAGATAGCCCAGCCCAGGGCTGCAGAGCATGCTGGGATGCTGGGGGACTCTGATTTAACTTAAACCAGGAAGGAGTCTGGGGAACAAGTTCCATAAACTGGTTTGATCTCAATTGGTTAAGTCTGATACTACATTCAAACAGATTTATCTCAAACAGGTTTTGGCTATTTTGAAACTGGTTTATGTGTACTGAACTTCTGTTCTGTTACAAGTTTAAACCAGTTTCTGATCACTTAAACTGGTTTATGTGTAACTTCTGCCCCTAGCCCTATTGTCACGCTTCCATGCCATTCATAGCTTAAAAACTTCCATGCTGAAATTTTTGACAACAGAAGTTGTAATAAACACACAAGATGGCTGCTAAGTAATGATGCACACGTAGCTAGCCATTCTCACAGCACTTCTCTGAGATGGACAGCAAAACTGGTCCCATTTTTTCGGAGGGAAGAGCATGTGTTGCATGTCAGGGGGCATTGTTTGTTTAAAATAAAATTGTATGATGTGAAATGTGGTTAGTTTTGTTTGGGGCTGCTAACAAAAATAGTCACTTGAGTTTTCACAGATAGCATTAAAAAGTGCAGCTTCTCCTAATCAAAACTTATTTGGCATAGATTTTTGTGGTGTTTATCAGTACTCACAATTTTTTATAGCTTTCAGGTTATGAACTTACTCTTACTGTTGCTTCAGATCACTTGGGAATTACATTAGGAAAGTTTTCCCAGGCAGTTACAGAACCCACTGGTGATGTTAAACTTCTCTTTCCCAAAGAGCAAGCTTTACAATCAGTATGTATATATACTTAAATTAAAATGCAACTGTCTCATCCATTTTGCTGTAGGATGGACCAGGAGTTCTACAGGAGACACAGCATGTCTGAAGCTAAAGATGAAAACAGTTCCACAAAGACATTGTCAGCAGCAGCTCGAAGATCATTCTTTAGAAGAAAACATAAACACAAGCGAAGTGGTTCCAAAGATGGAAAGGATTTACTGGCTCTCGATACAATCAGTACAGACTCCATTCCTTTCATGGATGGCAAGTCCTTTTGTTATTTTTAGTTTCCTTATGGCTCCTATGAGAAATATGGCTTTCTGGTTAGCCTCTACATAAATAAGGGAGAATCACCTGCTTCCCATCACACACACCACCCTCAGCCACCAGTATAGATGCTTGTATTAAGTAACAAAGTAGGCTATCTCAAATCAATAGCTTGTATTAACCTTTTTGAGTCCATCTCCTGAAGGTGAGCACTTAGGCCACTGGCAGATGTTCATTTAAAGGCATCATGAGATCTGGTCTTCAGTCTCAAATTACACCTCCTGTGCATGGCAGGACACAGTTCTGGGATTAGGTCCCAGTCACACCCTACTTGCTAGTGCAAGGGGAACCCAGGAACATGATGCTGGGCTTCCCCTGCATCAATAAGTTGAAAGCCTAGTGCCCAGCAATCAGCTGATCATCAGCTGAGGTCAGGAACCAAACTGGGGTCTAGAACTGGCTCCAGTGTGGTTGTCAAAACCCTATGCTCAACACCTCAGGCTGGGCTGCCAAGGGCAGGAGATCAGAGACTCCCAGCAGGAGAACCAAAGGCCTTCCCATGCTGGAAGTGCTAAACCCCGCACCTGCGCTGTTACTCTTCTATTCCAGGTTCCCTTGTACCGCAGTGAGTAAAAAACACATGAAGCCCACTTAAGGTGCACAGTGATTTTTCCAGGTCCTGATACACTGGGGCTCCAGTGCTTCTCCCCAGTCCCAGGGTCCTATTTAACCAGGACCTTTAAAAACTGCATTTTTGTCTGAGCTGTACCTACAGTTTTCTGATATAACTGGTGCACATGGACCCTGGGATTGGGAGAGGCTCCTTGATTCCATGGTCCCTCGGTGACGGGGTTGTCAGAAAAACATGTGTGTACCTGGGCTGCATATGCAGTTTTTAAAGGTTCTGACATGCCATCAAAGAACCTTTCCCCAATCCTAGGGTCCATCCATCCCGCCTGGAACTTTGAAAATTAGTGTGGAGCTGGGCTGAATAGAGTTTTCTGACACCCCTCGTGCATGGGGACCCTAGAATTAGGGAGAGGTTCCCTGATAGGATACCACTGTGCCAGGACCCTTAAAAAATTGTATGTGTAGCTCAGCCCAGTTGGTTAGGGAAGAGCCGTGTCCTCGGCCCAGGGGCTGCCCTATGCAGGATTTTGACACTCAGCTGAGTGTCAGGATTTGACATGGGTCAGTCTCAACCTGCCACAGGTTCAGTTTAAGGCAAATGAGTCACAAAGACGTTCTACATTGTATGTTGAATAACTTTGTGGTTCATTTTCTATATTATCACACCATAAATTGACTTGAATATGTGGCCACGTTACTATTTAAGGCGTGATAAATAGGTTAATTGTGTCTCAAATGTAATGTGTGCCAGGGGCCTAACATTTGGCTTTCTAAGGAGAATAGTAGTTGTATGCCTTTTGCAATTATTGCAAAAACATAATCTCCTTTGAGAGATGCAGTTGTTTAAACCCAGATTGCTAGACTTTGGCAAAGTGAACTCCTGAGTAAAAAACTGATTTTAATATTACTTATACTAATTTACTGCTTGAAAAAGCACATTGATTGTAAAACTTACTTATTACATTTGCCTTAGAAAATGCCTTAGATATCACTGCAGATTTTGTCTTTTGTAGAAGATGTAGTGGACGCAGACACAGGAAAGCTTGGAACCCTTTCAAAAGGGCAGCAGCTGGTATCTTCTAATTGTTATGCAAGAATGAGCTGAGAACAGTTTAAATGCAGCAAAATTGCTCCAACTTTAACCCTGGATGAAGGAAGTTAGGCCTCTGGCACATGTCACACTTAAGGCACGATTAACTGATTAATCACATCTTAAGTTATTACCTGGCCATGTGTTAATGCAATTAATGGTATGATAAATAAAGAATAAGCCACAAAGTTACTACATAAAAATGTGTAACAACTTTGTGGCTGGTTCTTATCATGCCATTAACCGAACAAGTCTCCAGGCCAATGCTCCCAGCCATGGAGGTGCACCATATGCCTTCGAACCAAGGAGCCAGGATCAACTTATCGTGCTCCTAGTCATGGCAGCCCATGATGCACCCCCAGCTGAGAGCCCTCTCAGATGATAGAGTGCCCAACTGTAGGAGCTTGCTGTTGCAGGGAGAAACCCAGGATCATAATCCTAGGCTCCACCCTGCACTGGCAATAAGGCGTGATGGGGTCTGATGTTGGATCACACCATTACACCTCCTGCCATGCACAAATAAGCTGTGGCAGGGCAGGAAGTGTGATAGTGGGATCGCACATCAGATCCCACGGCACTTTTACTTGCGTGTCATCCAGAGGCATTAAAGTTAGAGTGGATTTGTTGCATTTGAATTGTTCTCAGCTCATTGACACTTAAGTTAGAACTATCAGCTACTGTCCTTTTTTTAACTTTTCCTTTTTAAAAGGGCACCAAACATTTCTGTATCCACACCATTTGTGCTTTGCTAAGTATTTGTGTATCTGATGGATCCAACTTCTCAGAGTAGAATTATGGACCTTTTATCCACAGCTAAAAGTTTGTGTTCAAACCATAGTAATTTGGTTAGTAGGAGTCCTTCAGTTATCTGAACACTTAATGTGAACAATTTCAAGTTGTGTATAAGTGATGTTTCTATTTTTCTTTAGACTCTGTGAGCCTGGCTTACCAGCGTGTACAGAAGGTGGATTGTACCTCTCCAAGGCCTGTGCTTATTCTAGGGCCATTACTTGATGCCGTGAAAGACATGTTAGTCAAAGAATCTCCTGGGAAATTTTGCAGATGTCCTCTTGGTAAGCCTGCCAGGGTACATTTAAACCAATTTATTTGCTTAATTATATAAATGATACAATGATTTATCTTAGCACCTACATTTAACGATCGCACAAAAATTATAGGGTGGGGAGATAAAAAGCAAGACTGAATTTCTGTGGACTGTCCTGCAAGACTTTTTCTGTGACTAAGTAATAAAAATTAACAGTGTATCTGTGTTTTGTTCTTGAAACAGAGGTGATGAAAGCTTCCCAACAAGCTATTGAACGGGGAGTAAAGGATTGTCTGTTTATAGATTACAAACGGAGGAGTGGTCATTTTGATGTGACAACTGTAGCTTCAATAAAGGAGATAACAGAGAAGGTAAATTTTCTTTATGGTATCCTTGCTTTCTCTGTGGTTCTCCAAAATTTACAAAACATGATTTCTGCTATGGGTTTTGGGAGGAAAAATGTTTTATTGCCTTTTTGGCCTTGCTTCAAAAGACTATGAAGAGTTGTTCCCCAGGACATTGTTTTATTTAGACAAAATAAGGTTTATTTAGTGTAGTGCAGTTACTTCATGTCAGTATTTAAAGATTCTTTTATATAATCCTAGCTGTGGAAAAATTGTGGACTGTGGGGTTAATTTTTTCATGTTAGCTAAATTTTAAACATTTTAAAGTTTTTTGATATGTGTATGTGACAGTCAGTACATAAACATTGTAAAAAAAATTAAACAAGCTAAAAGAATTGACATGTGCATGCCGTTTAAAGTCCTGTCAAATGAGGGGTGCATTTTTATTAATGAAGGGAGTAACATATTGTGCCTGTGTAAAAGATTTGAAAAATAATTTATTCTTGAAGACAAAAATTAATATTCAACTTCTTTATCACAGTAGGCTTGAAATGACTTGATTTCATCTGCCTCACACTGTGCTTTCAATTTAATATAAATCTCCTAAATACATTTTTCTTCTATTAATAGTTGTTTCTCATAAATAGTGTTTGTTTCATTTGTTGTCATTTTAAGCAGTAATAAATCCTTTAGACATAATGTACGTTGTATTTACTGCCATAAGATATTTTGCTTAGGGGGCTGGGTAGGTAGAAGGTGTGGGGGGTGAGGGAAGGTGATGCCAGAATGCTAAGTGTGATGTGAAAATGTTGTTGAGTTGCCACAATTGCATTTAGAGGTGGAGTGGGGTTTCCTAAGTTTGCTTATGTTTCTTATCCTGTTTACCTAGATAAATGTTTATATCTATTTGTTTCTAGGACTGTCACTGTTTGCTGGACATCGCTCCTCATGCCATTGAGCGGCTCCACAGCGTTCATATCTACCCTATTGTCATCTTCATTCGCTATAAAAATGCTAAGCAAATCAAGTAAGTGGGAACGATAAGTCATGGATACTTATTTTATGTTACAAGATTAGCTTCTGCCTCAAAGCAGAATGTGCATTTTTGTCTTGCAAAATCGTTTTGAGGTAAATAGTATTAATTTTATCTCTGTTTACATGGAGAAAAATGGTATGCCCAAAGGGAAAAGAACAGTTCCACTTAAAATCTGAGTACCAGAGAGCACTCTGGGCACCTATACACGTGGCAGACTTCTGCTCCACCGCGTGCTAATTAGCATGCTCCAGCAGCCTCCATAGCACATGTATTTAGCATCCCTGCATTTCAAAATGGTGGTGGGGGTTAGTTAATGCACCTCCACTGCCATTTTGAAGCATGGGACACTGAATACACATGACACTGCGGCTCTGAGAGCTGCTCTAATTAAAGTGAACCCACACACACCCACACACACCATGGAGCACATGTATAGATGCCCTAAGTGGTAAATGCAGGAGGCAAGGAATTTTGTCCCTCCATTTGAGCTGGTATTGGGAATGTAAGTCTGCGTAGCTCCTTTGCTCTATATCCCTTTTTACCAGTGGAGGCCAACCTTTTTGGTAAATATGCCACAAATTTAAGCCTCATGCCCTCTCCAAGTACCGCTGTGTTCCCCTTTCCCTGCTCAATCTGCTTCTCTGCTTTCTGTTCCCTGCCCTATGCCTCCTACCTAATCTGCTGCTTTTTTTTCCTGATCCCTGCCCAAATTTCTATTCTGCTTTCTACTTCCTGCCCCATCTGCTGTGCTGTTTACTCCTTTCCTGATCTGCAGCATGCCATGCACAGGGGCTGCCCTAGCAGACGTGCTGCGGTTGGCCATCTCTGCCCTACGCAGTTGAGGCAACTTATTTTGAACACATCTCCCTACCTCTAGGCTGCCGTAAATTGATTGTCTTCAGAAGTCACCTTCCACAACGTGCAATCTTGCCTGGCCCCCAAGCATGGTCAGTTTAATTTTCAGAGAGCCAAGAATAGGAAACTGGTGTTCTGACTTATGGTCCCCCTATTCATATTATGAGTTAGCGTTCCCTTTTACTGGGTGTACCTATCTAAGAAGTCTGCTGTGCAGTTGACTAATTAACTGCCCAGTAAACAACTCAGTGTCTACATGTATGTCCTATTAGGGCACACAGAACTAATAAACTCCACAACAGGGTAGCACTTGTAAATTCTAGTGCTACAGAGTTTCTTCATGCGCAGCAGCGCACATGTGAATGCTGACTGGCTGGCTGGAGCATGAGGCTACTTGCTGGCTGGTCCCACGCTAAAGTACCCTCATGCCCCAGCCAAGCCTCCGCAGCACATTGAACCAGGTTGGACCATTCCTGGGCTGGCAGGCTGACCCTCTGGGCCCCCTGCTAGCTGGGTCTGTTCCGACTGGGCCACACATGTTGCACATGAATAATGAATAAACTCCAGAGCTAATTGCTCTGGAGTTTTGTTCCTTGGCACACATTCAAACAGCATGCCCAGGAGCAAAAAACTCTGGAACAATAAACTCTGGAGTTTATTCACATGCACTAATTGTACATGTGAATGCACCCACTGACTAGTTCAACCAGTTACATGCAGACAGAGTTGTTTTGCTAAGGTATCCTTATATGAACTGTGCTCTCATTTTGAAACCTTTCCTCCAGAGCCGTTTGTTGGTTTTTTAGTTTGTTTTAGGTATATAACAATTACACGAAGGAAATAGTTTCCTTTATACCACTGGACCCTGTAATTTATCAAACTTTAAGGATCCTACATAAATATTAAACTACAGAAAGTATATTTGATTTTTCCCCTTCAAATAAATAATGCTTGAATGTCAATAAAAGTGTAGTCATTCATTTTGAAGCTCATCCATTTAAAGAAAAATGAATGTCCCCACCATAGACCACCAGCAAATCAACACGGTACATTAAAACTCCCCACTCTGTATGGTTATAGAGCCACATGTTCAGATGTTAAAGGAAACTCTTGTGTGATGAGCATACTTAAAAATCAGGTCCACTGCTCTTAGTTGTTTTCACCCTTCAGAACAAAGAGAAATAAAGTAAAGTGAAGCATTAATCTACCAGAAAAAAATCAGGCTATTTCTGCATTCATCAAGACAAGATAGAGTTGCATGTTGCCATTGGGAATTACTTGTTCCCATCAGAGGATTTGCAAAAAAACATGCAAGTAATTTTACACAAAACCCTTTTGGTTTCAGTGGGTCCTGTGCTCTTAAGTCATGTGCGTGCTTTTGAAAACCCCACCTGGAACAGTAAATCAATATGTACAATACCACTACAACAGTGCCCATGTTTGATGTATAAGCTAAGCAGTGTGAGGGCATGCAAGCCATAGTTTTTATCTACATTTTTACTATTTCAAACAGAAACTTGCCATGATTCAAATCTAAGAGAGAACAAGTTCAGCTAGCTCAGTAAGAGCTATGAGAGCCTGCTGCCTTTATAAAAAGTCTTTACCAGTCTGAGCATTCTTTATGCTGCAGCATGCAAAGCAAAATAGCTGAATAAAGGCTATTTGCTTAATTCATATGAGAGTACCTTCTAGAAACAGGCCTGAGACAAATTCATAGATCTGAATAATGTCAAAGACACTCATTGACCCAGAGGGACAGACTTCCATCTTCAGCTCCCTCTGTGCAAAAATGAAGTTTATTTCCTACCTATGGGGACTTTTTACCATCTTGTACCATCTACACTTTTCCCAGAGCCTGACGAAGGGACTTTGCTCCCAAAAGCTTGCAGAAAAGGACAATTTTCTTGCCATTTTCCAGTTGGTCTAATAAAAGGTATCATTTTGGAACCAAGAGTTCTAGTTTTTTGTATGTAGCTCTGACTAGTATAGCAGTACTGACCTCAATGGAGACTTTATAGGCTGATTTATCTCTAATTGGTTGTTTTGCCAACAGCTGGAATCCACATTTCCTACCTTCACCAATTTCCTCTGCTAAATTTAGTACTGTATGACTATATTTGGTTGCAGAGTATGAAAAATATTTTTGAAGTCCTTTGCTAGAGCAGTTTCTTTAGTGTTGGTTTGTCTAAGATACGGGTTGGCAATTTAGTCAGCGTTGAAGGCTGAAAGTTTCCACCCCTCTGCCCCCCTACCCCCCCATTCCAGCTGTCAGATATCAGACCCCTCTGCAACAAAGTTAAACTCAGACATTGTGAAGCAGCAGGCTCTGCACTGGAAGAGAGTGCTGCAGAGGGGATGGGTGGCATCAGACCCCTTCACAGGCAACAGGTTGCCAACATCAGGTCTAAGGGGTAGTTTTCAAAGGATATATATGATATTTTTAAAAAGACCTATTAACTTTGGAACAGGTTGAGATTTTTTTTTTTCCTTCCACAGGTCTGCTAATTATGTCAGGCTAAATTTCTTAATATTGCAATTCAAATAGATTGTTAAGAATACCACTTAAGAAAAAATCCACTGAAAGTCGCCTCATATTAATGGCACTATTCCACAGAATACACCAGGCGGCGCTCTCTGCACAGGATTATGCCTGTAAATTATGAAAGACTTTCACGTTAAGACATCTGCATGCAACTCATCTCAGGTCTGTTGAAAAGCTTGCTTAACAATGATTCTTTTCTTTTCCTTTTTTATAGAGAGCAAAAAGACCCGATCTTTCTGAGGGACAAAGTTACACAAAAACATTCCAAAGAACAATTTGAGACAGCTCAGAAAATAGAACAGGAATACAGCAAGTACTTCACAGGTTAGTATGTAATCTCCATTTCAGTAAGAATGCAGTTGCAATTAATTTCACCTGCATTGAATTTTGAAAAATCAGTTAGTTAATAAGAAAAGAGGGGTTTTTTTACTGGTATTTTTTAACCTCCCATTGATTTTGATTAAATTTATGCTCTAGTTTTTCAGAGAGAACTACAGTATTTTTCAATAAAACATTATCACAAGTGTTTTCCTTTACTTTACAATAAGTTCAGCTTATCAAATAATACATTTTGATATTTAAAGATGCATCCAATCCCCTAAAATGTACATAAAGACATATCTTTATCTTCTTTCAACAGTATTCCTTTTAATTTATTGTCCATGGGAGTCCTGAAATCACAACTATTTAGTGTGCAATATGGAGTGAATTTTGGTTTCATTGTTTAAAGTGAGTTTTCTACACTAGAGAGATTTTGTTCAAAATGTACTACAAATAATATATGGAGCAGTCTAATGGAATTACTTAAAGTAGTCACGAGGAGCCTGTGATTTTTGCTGTCATGACATTGCGACATTCATTGCTTTTCATTCTTGCTACAGTATGGTCTTCCTGAGTTGTAACAAAAACAAATATACCAAGTATATAATGGGTTCTAGTTAATAGCACTGACATGATGCATGCTGTAACAAGCTTTAAAAGGGCAGTACAGTTTTTCAAAGTTTTGTTTATCAGCCATTGTTTTCACTGTCACTTGGAAGCATGGCCCATAAACATGATGGAGTGTATTTAATTGCAATATAAAACTCACAATATAAACCCTTAAATTCTATTTGGAAAGTAGTTATCTGATAAATTTTCCCTGAGATGATGTTGCAGTACTTGATGCTGCTTCACTTCATTTTTAAGTACCTCACCAAACTCTCCAAAACACAACTGGAAAAAACTTTGCACTGTAGAAGTGAATGGCACCACTGTCATCAAGGGTCTCTAGAAGCAAAGCATGACGCATAGTTTTTAAAGAATCCTTTAATTTGGTGGAGGGAAGACGAATGAGATTTTTATATTATTGATTTTGGTCAAATACACGCAGAATACAGAAATGCCCCTAGGTATTTGTCTGTCTTGTCTTCTAACATTCGTTGAGAGAAGTCACAAATCATTAAAAATGACAATTTTCTAGTGACTAGCTATTACATAGAAAGATTTAATACTTATTAAATAAAAAGAATACTCAGTGTCAAGAAAATACCGTTAAACTTCTGAGCTATGTATATAGTTAGTTTCAATAAACACATGCTGTTGTCTGCTCCCTGTATGTGATTACAGCCACTTGTTGCATCTTGTCTTCATTGATGCCTGATTGTAAAGTGAACTGTCTGAGACCAGGAACTCCTTGACTTCAGTAAGTTCCTGTGTAAAGCACCTTGCAAGATGAGGGCTTATATTGTAAGGATTGTAAGCACTATGAGTATGATTGAGGGCCTTGAAAATTACTAAATCAAAACAACTACATTCCAACTGCTGTCTGGTTTCAACAAATGGAATATTTTCATTTATGATTTAGTACTTAGCTACAAGACGCTTTGGGTAGGGAGGAAGACATAGTTTTCACAGATTGCTATATAATCTTGCACACTATAGCTTTTCCCCCTAGCTGCTACATACCTTCAGTTCTGAACCGTGTGGAAGCTTCAGGAACTTTTTTGCTGAATAACCTATTCAGGCTATCTTTACTCTTCCCCAAAAAGATAGCACGTTTTATTAACTGTATTGAATTTTAATGCTCCTGTTCACCAAACACAAAATTGTCTGTTTTGCCTCCTGGATCCAAATTTGTGATATGTGGCCAATTATAATTTTTTAATGTTATTAAAGTGTCTGTTTTCAGAAGTGGAAAAACTATCTACTGTCTGATATTTTTTCCTGTTATTCCATCTTGATATTGGCTGTATTCAAAGGGCGTTTTAAACCAGATTTTAAATCACATAACTTTTTTGTCTAATGTCTTAAAGCTCGTAGGTTCAGTCTCCTTTGTCTGTACTGGTATTTTTTCATAGTAAGTTTCCTGTGGTTGGAACAAGATGGAAGCAGACAGTACATATATAACAATGCCACTGTAGGCAAGACCCAAACTTTGGGTAGCTTGCATTACCTGTTCAGAACTACCTAGTTTCAGATCATTTTGAGATGAGGCATAGGGGAAGTCTATTGTAGTAAGTGATGCTATTATGATACATAATTCTCAATGTTAGATTTTGCCTGAGCACTCCAGAACAGTTAAAAGAGATTTTCAGCAGAAGAGCCCTTGCCTCTAGATCAGTGATTCTTAGCCAGGCTGCCTAAAGATTCTTTGAAGGGTGATGCACAGTACGAGGAGATAAGCGCAGGCTCAGGTTTGTTCTCCAACCCCCACTACTTGGCCCCTCTGCAAGGAAACAAGGACTGTAATAAATAAGATAGTTTTGCTACTGTATTCACAAAAGCTATGGAGGGAGTGCCTTGAGTCTAATGGGGGTTGGGGGAGGGCTTGAGGCTAGAAAAGTTGGGAATCACTCCTGTAGATCTTCTTCTGCAGCCTGTTTGGCAGGCCTCAGGGTGCAATGCAGGGTGGATTGCTTTTTGTCTTTGGTTTATTGTTATTATCTGTGGTTTTTCTTGCTGCTGCTGTTTGCTTTTTGTTCCCTGAGCATGGCTGTGGCTTTCTGGTGGCAAAAGTGTTGGGATTTTTTAGCTCAGCCTGTTGTCAGCTGCTCTATAAGTGGTTTCAAATATTTGTAAATAGTTCCTAGTTGCTACAGCTATGAGCTCCATGTATGTTACCGCATAAATATTACACCCCAAGGACCACTTGCTCCATCATGGAGGTTTAAAGATGGTCAGAACCTGTTATATCATAATAGATTCAAACTTGGCAACCTGATATCTCTGAAAACAAATTGCAGAGTACTTTGTAACAAAACAGTTGTCTTAGTTGATTATAGCCACAGATCTTACTGCTATCCTGTGTCATTTCAAGGGTTAGTAGAAGAGCTAATATATTAAACGTTTAACCCTTCTACTCTGTTACCCTTGTTTGAACATGTATACGCATGTAACAGATACTCAAGGTGTAAAAATATACATGATCTGTTGATAAACACTTTTAAAGAAAATACCTAACACTTGCTGTCTGAAATAAGTCAAGTCTTTCAAGTATCTGATTTGTGTGTGGGCATTTTCTTTTTGTAGGTGTTGTCCAGGGAGGAGCCCTTTCAAGCATTTGCACTCAGATTATGACAACTGTCGATCAAGAGCAAAACAAAGTCCTGTGGATTCCAGCTGGCCTGCTATAGATATTTGCTGTGAAGCTATTCTCCAGATGTAAATAGCAATTAACCTTTTTCCAATGGACACATCATTTATGTCTTTATAGAGATATAAATGATTGCTTTTCATGAAGGGGAATGATACACTGAACACAAACAAAATCAACAAGGTGTGTAGAAGGGATAGCTCTTTATCAGAGAACATTGTCCTGCATAAAAACTGCAGGATGGGCTATAACCTAGGTGTACCTTTTCATAAGAGGTGAATATAGTAATGCTGCGAAATAACCCTTTAGAATGACGTTTACAAAAACCTTTTCAAAGTATTTGGTTGTTGATGTTTACTTGAATGACCTTTATTTTTTTTAAGTCTGTCTTCTTTCCCCTAATGAGACAACTCTCCAAAATGGAGTGAAGTTTCCACAAATAAATGGATTTGCAGGCAATGTGATTCTACCTTGCAGTTCTGACCTTTTCCGAGCGCATTGTTGACATGACTACTGGGTAATCATGCAGGGTTTGTGATCAGTACATCTTGGGAGTGAGCTCAGAAGGAAGAGCCCTCCTTCCCAGGGCAGACCACTGTTTGTAGTCTATGAAAGTTTAGCTGTCAAAGATACTGTTTTTGTTTTATGCATGGATCTAATATTTAAACTTTGTAATATATCTGATCAATCTGAACTTAGTATGTGTTTAGAAATATTTTTTGGTTGTTGGGCCTAGTCAAAGTAATGATGGGGAGAGTCGATAGCTAGGCCTAGCATGCCGTGTTTGTCACTTTTAGATACTGTAAATATTGAAAGCAAATGTTGGTGCAATTTTGCCGGGTAATTCTTAAGCTTTGTACTTCAGTGTGTAGCATTCACATAGATTTGTATTTAATATAAGAGCAGTCACCGTTTTAGGTCTTTGAACGAGAGCCTTTAGGGAGGTACGTTAATTGTTAGTGTTTTCACTGTCAACAAGTAAGTGATCATTTAGTTTTGTTGCAATACTCTTTTACCTGTTGAACCAAACTTCATGGTATTGGTTCCTTTTTTGTTTTTGCACTTCTGAGTCTGTGTTTCTAACACAGGGTTTGTTTTCTATCTTTTCATTAACTGTCATGTTTGTAGGTACTGTACTTAAATTGTTATTTGAAGTATCATTTAAATAGGGCTGTTTCTCAGTGACTGTTCCTAACATTTCATTATGTAGCAAGAAGTATTTTCTTTTATTAGTTTTACCCAACAGTCTGTAGTTATTTTATTTGCTGGGGGGGTTTTAATTAAAAAGGGATTCTTCTTGCACAGTTCTTCAAAGAAAAAATTGGTCCTAAAATTTAACTTCTGTTTTACAAGTACTATTTTATAGCTCAAAATACTAAAGAAAAGAAACGTAGGCAATGAATGGATGAATTATTAGTCAAAGTACTTTTCATGGTGAGGGACAGTGGTTATTTTTTTTAAGTGCGATCAGAATGGACTCCAGTGGTACAGATAAAACAGACAGGTACTGTTCTGGCTTGGACTTTCTGTACTAAAAATAAACATGTCACTTTGTATCAATAAAAGGTAAAGAAACTGATTCCTGTGTTAAGTAAAGGTCAATTTCTATAACTTGACTTGTATTTAAGGACTATTTATATTGTCTCTAGCACTTTTTAAGAGACATATGGGGCCGCTTTTTAGTTAATTGGCCCCATAAAATTTCCTTGTGTAAAAACTAATTTTTGTCAATTGAAATTGATGTGTGTACTTGACTGAAATTGATGTATGGATATTGGAGGTTCTACATAAGTAGGTATCTTCAAAATAGGTTCTGCAGTCACAATTTGTGTACTCATTTCTCCTGGTATGGAGAAACTGGAATTGCATTTCTCCTGGTATGGTCCTTCATCATAGTGGTGGAATTTGGGCTTATCAGTTGTTCTTTCTCAAATATATTCCTCTAAGAAAAGCCTGCTAACTGAGCATTGATGAAAAATTGTTCTTAACCTATGTATTTAGGAATTGAGCATTAACAGATGTAAATCTAACCCACTTCTCATGCTCCTTAGGAAGCCATTTCTGCTGTACCAAATACAGTAGATGAAGTGTATGAGGTAAAGCACTTGGAAGAATGGAAATTTTGGAAATGGAAAAAAAATGCTTTGTTAGCCTGTAAAATACGGTCCTAGCTTTTTTATTCTTCAGCAGAGTAGGTGTTGCACACAACACAGTAGAATTTTATATGCCACTTGTGCCAAGAAAAGCAAGCTTGTGGACTAAAATAAGCAAATGTATCACAAAAATGAACCCACGTTTCTGCTATAAACAGCAGAAACATAACAACACAAAAGACTTTAGGGATGATTACTAGGTTTGTCCAAAGAATCAGTTTGTCAGAGTGTAAAACACTGTATTTAGTTCTCTATGTTAATTGTGATAGATATGTAATAACATTGCTATCAAGGCTACTATAGGGATAGCTGTTTAAGAGGTGTGTACAGATGTGGGATTCAGCATCAGTTTAAGGACCCATTGTTCAACTTCATCAGAAATAATATTAACCCACAGCAGTGTAATTAGCACACTTGCCATGTGTTCTGCTGGTCAGAATGTTGAAATGAAGTATTTGCTAAACATGCATCTTGTCCACGTGATTTAGTGACGTTCGGTTTTACTGACATACTGCATTCTATTACGTGGTGCAACATTTTAGGCCTATATTTGCCACAAATGTCAGAATAAAATAATCTTGGCCAGGTATAGACAAAACATATTTAAACTTGTACTTTGTCCAAAATATTAAAAAAAAAAAAATTAAAAACTTTCAAAGTTTTCAAGGTAAAACTGAGTTCTGAAGACCTGTACCTACAAGCTACTATGACTACTATATGACTACTGGCTTAGAGTTATTAAGTAACCTCTTTGAAGACTATCATATTTTGGAAAGTTACCCTAGTTATTACTCAGCACACATTTCTCAGTGGAGTGCACTATCTATGACTGGACAAACACTCCCTCTTCATTTTGTATTGCTCTGTCTCAGGGGTGGGCAATTGTTTGGGCCTGTGGGCCACATAGGGAGTTTTGATGAGCTTTTGTGGGCTGGGTCAGCTCCCCCCCTCTCCCCCACCTTCCGCATGCAGTAGCTCACCAAAACTCCCTTAGTGGCTCTGCTCTGCACTTGGCCAGGTAACTAAGATAGGGCCATAGGTGGGCAGGAAGTGGGATGGGTGGGCAGTGCCAGGGCTTAGATCACAAGGTGGTGACAGTGCAAGGCTGGGGCCAGGGCAGAGCTGCGATATGCAGCCCACTCACCCCCATGACAGGCTCCAGTCCTGCAGGCAGGGATGTGCGGGGAGTAGATCACGGCTCTGTTATTGTCCAGTGATTCCAGGGTCTCTATGAACAGCAGCTTGGACCCGAGCAGACAGGGCACATGGCTGGGCGGATGGCATGGAGTCACTGGCAGGCAGCGAGCTGCGTCCAGGGTCAGGTCTGGGGTCTTGGGGCAGCGACAGCACAGGGCCTGGAGCAGAGCCACAATCTACTCCCTGCATGCCCCTGCCCGAAGAACCCATACCCATTGTAGCTCAGCCCCATCCCCGCACTGTCTCTGCCCTATGATCCCAGCCTCGCTTGCCTATCCTGCTCCCAGACACAGCTCCCTACCTGCTCACGGCCCCCATTCCATCCACCTGGTTGCACACCCTGCCTGCATGGGTCCTGCCCCCAGCAGTGGGTGTGGGGCAGATGGGCCAGGGTGCCCAGGCAACAGGACCGGGTCCAGCTGCAGTGGCACCATTGCCAGAACTGCTGGGAAGCAAGTCTGTCTGCTGTGCCGCCCGGCCCTGCTGTGCATCCAGGGGCAGCAGGACCAGTCACATGCACCACAGCCTGGGCTGCCCCGCTCAGGTGGGCTGGGCGGGACGAAGGGACCCATCATGAGCCAGGCAAAATCCCTCAGTAGGCTAGATCTGGTCCGTGGGCCATATTTTGCCCATTCCTGCTTCATCTACTAATTATATTATTGCCTCCTACAGTATAAGATTATTTCCAGAACCTGATAAAATTATCCATAAGTCTCTATCAAATAAATGAAATGTATCCAGATTTTTGTTGCGTGTCTGAATGAAATTAGCATTACAGCTACTATACCATCAAGAAAAAAAAAATTGTTTTGGTTGGGAAGAGTTGTCATAGGAGCTCTGCTCCTAGTATGGAGCATGGAGACTGGGTCCACACACAATCCTTACCAGTACAACATTACCATTAGGAAGATGGTGTTTAAGTTATAGAGTGGATGCAGTTATAAACCAGAATAATGGCTAATTATTTTGTTATAGTTATTTCCTATCCCATATAGAAGTAGCACCTTCATATCAATACTGGTGTATCCAATCTCCAAGGGGTAAATAGAAGGATACAGTTAATTAATTATACAGATATATTAGTAAAATGTACTAGTGTAGACAAAGCTTAAGAAAAGTGTTTTTTTTATTTTTTATCTTCGTATTCTTTTATGGTCCTGGTACAAGTGATGCCTTCACTAATTATAACAGAAGGCATTTCTCTCTGGTTCTACTGTCTTATTTTGTGTGCTAGGCACTATTTGACAGAATCAGTTTCTTAGTTCCCATTTTTATAGGCTTCAGAATGACAGCATCCCCTTCATTATCCACTGTCAATCTTCCTCAGACCTCTGTTTACATTGCTGTCAACTGTATGGCAAGGTCTCCCTGGAACCTTTGCTGGAAATTACCATCAAGGACACCTGCCAGTCTGTCCATATCAAGCAATAGTCTATGTCTGGCATCTGGTAAGTTTGGATGTTATAGTATAGTATTGGAGCTAAACAGGGGCACCACACATTCCCACTCCATAGATGCAACTGATTATGCTGATGTTTTGCCCAAACCCATCTCAGAACAGCCTTCACTAGAAGCAGAAGTGAAGCTCTAGATTCCTCTGAAGAACTACATACCTAATCTCATACAGATGTGCTCATGGTCAAGGCCAAGCTGGTCCCAATGGGAATTAGACTTGAAAGTCCTGTGAAAAGATATAATTGATGTTTGCAAGAGTTCACAGATCTCAAGGTTTCTCAATTGCCAGTTTCCCCAAAGTTACACAGGGGCATGAAGAGTAAATACAGGTGACATTGTTCTGTATCGTGTCAGGTTAGGGTGTTGTCTTGTGTTAGGGTTGATTGTGTAGTTTTGCTGAGAAGTTGGACAGTGGAGTTGTATGCTATGTTTTGGATAGAGATGATCCTCAGGTTGGGGATTGGACTAAATTGGAAGGATCCCTCCCAGCCCTGAGTCTCTCTGATTCTATGATAACTAAGCCTCTTATCTATCCAGATGTTTGCCTAGCGTGACAGCCAATAAAGATTCCAGACTCAAAGGCAGAAGTTGAGCAGGGTGAAGGGAGTTGTTGGAATCTTACTGCAAATTTCTTCTACATGGTGTCTTAAATGTTTTAAAGGTTTTGTTATACTATACGTTTTATTTATGTTGCTCTAAAGGGAAATTTATTCCCAGCCTTCATTCTACATTATCTACATTATCTTTCCAGAAAAGGCTTTGTGATCCTTTAGAATGAAAAAGTGCTGTACTGGTGTTGATAGCCACATTTTCAATCATTTAAATGAAGCTGTTTTCCCCTCACCTTCTTAAAAGAGGGCTAATTTCATCAGGGAATGAGATGATTTTCTGCTAAAAAAAAAAAATAAATATCCAGGCTTTGGGCTATGTGAATCCAGAAAATTCAAATGTGTGGTCCTGCTACTTGTAAGGTACAGTAGGCTGTTGTCTGCTTCATATAACCATACTCTATCTTCTTTTAAGTAAGCAATGGGCCTGACACTACAAACCCTTGCTTTTGGGCATGAATAGTCTAACTGGTCTACACAATGGAATTTACAAAAAATACTGTTCGGTTGCCAGTTGTGCAGTTGTCCTATACAGCAAGACCCCCTTCACCATCCAAAACTGGGGCAGCCAGCCAGGCACTGAGGCTGCTTTCTAGTACTTTCACAACCCGTACCAGCTTTAGCAATGACAAGACATGACTATTTACTTCACCAAGATTACTTGTATGGGTGAGCATTTCAGCTGGGTAGGAAACAGTTCTCTCATTGTTTAAATATTTTTAGCATTTTGGAGACTTTTTCCCTTTTACATGGGGGGCAGCCTTTTGCATGGGTGCCAGCCAAAGTACACGTCCCTGCTCCAAATCAGACCTTCAACCCAAGCTCCCTACATCCCAAGTGAGTTCTCTCACACTGAGTTCACTGGCTATTGTGCAGTCAGGCCTCTCCATTTTCAACCAGAAATTCAACTGCTCGACCCTTCTTCGAAAACTGTCATTGAACCTGACAGAGTAGCAGAAAGTTTTGATTAAAAACAATTAGCACTTCTAACAAAACAATTTTATGGAAGATTCCCTATTGACTCAGATAAGGAATATTTGTGTTAGGTAAGTATTTGCATAACCAAATTGTTCACTGGATTTTATACATAGATAGTTCAGTGAGACATGAGAAAAAATTAAAAACTGTCAATATTGGAAAACTATCCCTATGTTTGATCATATTTT